TTTCACCAAAATTGGTTGATAACACTCACCCTGCTCCTCTCATTTGCTCTCCATTTTTACTTGCTTCACACCACTCTCTCTTAACTTCTCTCTTTTTCTCCATATACTCTTTCCTCTCCTTGCAATCACTTCATACTTTGTAAAACATCTCAATATGCTACCTTTTCCTCCCTTACTACTCTCTTTACATCATCAATCCACCAATCGCTCCTCTTCCCTCCTGCACCCCACCTTTCCTGAACAACCTCAAACTTCTGCTGAACACTCTAACACTACCATTTTGTAAACCTACTCCCATACCTCTTCGACCCCCTTGCCTATGCTCTCATTAGCCCATCTATCCTCCAATAGCGTTTAAATCTTACCCTAACTGCCTCCTCTTTAGTTTTATAACCTTCACCTCTCTCCTTCCCTATGCTTCTATTCTCCTTGTATCCCATCAACCTTTTACTCTCAGTGTAGCTACAACTAGAAAGTGGATCTGAATATCTGTGGCCCCTCAATAAACATGTACATTCCTGAAGTCTTACTCAACATCTTTTATCTACCAATACATAATCCAACAAACTACTGTCATTCGCCCTACATCATATATATCGTGTATACTTATTTATCCTCCTTTTTCTTAAAATATTAATTACCTATAACTAACCCCTTTCTAGATACAAAGTTCAATTCAAAGGCCTCCCATTACATTTACACCTGGCAGGCACCCCAAACTTACCTACCACACCCTCTCAAAAAGTTTCTCCTACCTACTTAGCATTCAAGTCCCCTACCAATATACTCTCTCACTTGTTTCAAAGCTCCTATACATTCCACTTAACATCTCCCAAAATCTCTCTCTCTACCTCTGCTTTCCTCCTCCTCCAGGCGCATACACACGTATTATGACACCACTTCTCGCATCCAACCTTTACTTTAATCCACAAATTCTTGAATTTTACACATCATATTCTCTTTTCCTCCTTCCATAACTGATCATTTAACCTACTTGCTAACCCCATCCTTTGCTCTAACACTCTCAGATGACTTCCAGATTAAATCCCATTTATTTTCCCCCCACTTAAAACTCTCCTTACCCCCTTCAGCTTTGTTTCGCTTAGGGCCAGGACATCCAACTTTCTTTTCATTCATAACATCAGCAATCAATCTGTTTCTTGTCACCGCACTACCTCCACACGCACATTAAAGCACGACCCATTTTTTATAAAGTTTTTCTTCTTCTCTTTTAGTAATTGTATACAGGAGAAGGGGGTTACTAGCCCATTCTTCCCGCCATATTAGTCGCCTCATACGACACGCATGCTTACGGAGGAAAGATCTTTTCCACTTCCCCATGGACAATAAATAAATAAAAAGAACAAGAAGCTATTATAGAAAAAGGAGAAAAACCAGATGTATGTATATATATATATGCCTGTGCGAGTCTGGGAAGTGTGTGACCAAAGTGGTTAGTAGGAGTAGCAAAGATAGCCCTGATTATCTTAGCGTGTTTATGAGACAGAAAAAGAAACCATAAATATATATATAAATATATATATATAATATAAAAATAATATATATAACTATTAATATATAATATAATATATATATAAATATATATATATATATATATATATAAATATATATATATATAATAAAATATAAATATATATATATAATATAAAATATATATAGTAGTTTGTTGGATTATGTATTGGAATAAAAGACTGTTGAGTAGACTTCGGATGTGACATGTTTAGTAGAGGGCCCCAGATATATCAGATCACTTTACTATTGTAGCTTACACTGAGAGTAAAAGTAGATGGGATACAATGAGAATAGAAGCTTCAGGGAAGAGAGAGGTGACAGGTTTATAGAACTAAAAGAAGGAGGCAGTTAGGGGTAAGATATAAACAGCTATTGGAGGATTAGAATGGGCCTAATGAGAGCATAAGGCAATGGGGTCGAAGAGGTATGGGGATAGTTTAAAAATGTATGTAAGTGTTCAGCAGAAGTTAGTGGCTACTAGAAAAGTGGGTGCAGGAGGGAAGAGGAGCGATTGGTTGGAAATGATGATGTAAAGAAGTAGTAAAGGGAGAAAAAGTTAGTCATATGAGAAGTTTTTAACAAAGTAGAAGTGATGCAAGGAGGGAAGAGTATATGGAGAAAAATGAGAGAAGTTAAGAGAGTGGTGAAGCAATGTAAAAAGAGAGAAATGAGAGAGTGGTTTGAGATGTTATCAACAAATTTTGCGAATAAGAATAAGTTTTTGGAGTGAGATTAAACAAGTAAGAAACCTAGAGAACAAATTGGCTTTGTCAGTTAAAAATAGGAGAGGAAGTTATTAAATGGAGAGGTAGAGGTATTGGGAAGAATGGAAGGAATATTTTGAGATTGTTAAATGTTGATGAGATAGGAAGCGTGATTTCGTGTAAGGGCAAGGAGGAGACTAACATCTTGTAGGAGTGAGGAAAGAGAGCCAGTTGTGAGTGTGGGGAAGTTTCGTGAGGCAGTTTTAAGTAAAATGGAAAGGGGGTAAGGCAGCCGGGATTGATGGATAAAGATAGAAAATGTTAAAACAGTGGGATATAAGTTTTGGAGTGGTTGGTGGCCATTATCTAATTAAATGTATGGAAGAGGGTAAGGTACCTAGGGATTGGCAGAGAGCATGCATAGTTACCTTTGTATAAAGGCAAAGGGATAAAAGAGAGTGCAAAAATATAGGGATAAGTCCTGTTGAGTTCAGGTACTCTTGCTACTTCTACTTACACTTAGTCCCACACTACACATACATGTACAAAAGCACATATATACACAACCCCTCTGGGTTTTTTTCTTCTATTTTCTTATTTTCTATTCAAGTTCTTATACTGTTTATTTCCCCTTATCTCCATGGGTGAAGTGGAACAGAATTCTTCCTCCGTAAGCCATGCGTGTTGTAAAGGCAACTAAAATTGCCGGAGCAAAGTGGCAGTATAACCTCTTCTCCTGTATAAATTACTAAATGTAAAAGGAGAAACTTCCGTTTATTCCTTTTTGGCCACCCCGCCTCGGTGGGATACGGCCGGTGTTGTTGAAAGAAGAAAGAAGTCTGTTGAGTGTACCTGGTAAAGTGTATAGGTAGATTATAATGAAAGAATTAAGATAAGGACGAGAATAGGATAGCAGATGAACAAGGAGGCTTTAGGAAAGGTAGGGGGTGTGTGGACCAGGTGATTACAGTGTAACATATATTGAACAGTTATTTTAGATAAGGCAAAAGAGGTCTTTGTGGCATTATGGATTTGGAAAAGGCGTAATGACAGGGTGGATAAGGGGGCAATTGGCAGATGTTGCAAGTGTATTGTGTAGGAGGTATGTTCCTTTACAGAAAGCAGTGAAGAGTTTTTACCGAGGATAAGTGAGGCTCAAGTTAGAGTATGTAGGAAAGAGGGAAATTATTTCCCAGTAAAAAGTAGGCCTTAGACCAAGGATGTGTGATGTCACCGTGGTTGTTTAATATATTTTTCGATGGGGTTGTAAGAGAATAAATGCGAGGGTCTTGGCAAGAGGGCGTGGAGATAAAAGATAAAGAATCACACACAAAGTGGGAGTTGTCCACAGCTGCTCTTTGCCGATGACACTGTTCTCTGAGGAGATTCTGAAGAGAAGTTTGCAGAGATTGGTTGATGAATTTTGGTAGGGTGTGCACAAGAGAAAAATTAAAGGTTAATACAGAAAGAGTAATGGTTAAGAGGATAAACAAAAAGATTAGTGATGAAGATTTAATATCAGATTGGAGGGAGAGAGTATGGAGGAGGTGAAGACGTAATCAGATATTTGGGAGTGGACGTGGATCAGCGGATGGTCAAAGAAAGATGAGTGAATCATAGAATTGATGGAGGGAAAAAGAGGAGTGGTGCACTTAGAGTCAGTTGAGGACAAAGAACTTAGTCCTTGGAGGCAAAGAGGAAGGTATAGAGTATAGTTTTATACCAACGCTCTTTAATATTGGGTGTGACCGTGGGTGATGGAATGTTTGCAGAGCGAGGAAAGGCTAGAGGATGTAGTGGAGATTCATGGTCTGAGGGCAATGGTGTGGTGTGAAATATAATGCAGAGAATGCGTATTTTGAAGTTAGGAGGAGGGGCGGATTACCAAACTGTTGTTCCATAGGGCTGAGGAAGGTTGTTTGAGTGGTTCGTACAAAGTAAGAGAATGGAGCGAAACAGAATGACTTCAAGAGTGTATCAGTCGGTATGGAAGGAAGGCGGGGTATGGTCGGCCTAGGAAAGGGTTGGAGGGAGGGGTAAAGGAGGATTGTGTGCGAGGGGCATGACCTTATCCCCAGCAGTCATGAGTGAAGCGTGTTTGACTATGAGTGACATGGAGAACAATGTTTTTAATACTTACGTGCTGTTGGTGTGTGAGCAAAGTAACATTTATAAGGGATTCAGGGAAACCCGCAGGCCGGACATTGAGTCCAGAGATGGGAAGTACAGTGCCCTGCACTCTGAAGAGGGGTGTATAATGTTGCAGTTTAAAAACTGTAGTACTGTAAAATCACCCTTCGGCAAGACAAGTGAGGAGTGACTGGATGGTAAAGTTTATCTTTTTCGGGCCACCCTGCCTAGGTGGAATCGGCCGGTGTGATAAAAAAAATAAATACATAATTAGACCATTTCAGAAACCCCCAAACATACACGTACAAAAGGCACTTACATAAATAACTTACATAATGGTCGCATGTAGGTATCGATAAGCGGGGGTCCACTGAATATATATATCTAAAAATATCTATATATATCCATATCTATATATATCTATATATATCTATTATATCTATATATTATCACTATAATAATCTATATATATATATAGTTGAAGTGAAAACTTAAAGAATTAATGAAAGGATGGAAAGTACTGCAATGTTTGTTATCCATGAAAACCAATTGTTTTCAACCTTTTATTATGTAAATATTTGAAGTATTCTCCCAGCACCCCATAATTACAGATCTGCCAGTCAATAACATTACCTCTCGAGGCATAACAAAGTAATTTCTGATAATATCAACAACTGCATCATCTGCCAAAATCCTGGTGATTAGCCGTGACCAAAACCCAGAGGGAAAATATGACATGAGCAGGAGTCATCTTATTGCAGCGTGTGAGCTGAGCGATGGGTTACTTGTCATACCCGGAACCTCTGAGTGATGGAGTTGTATACCAGGTTCACAGTTTCTTTCTTGGGACTCCCTGGTGAAAGAAAATGACCTGTAAAACAATCCTGACCCTCAGAGTAATCCTATGTTATTTCTTATCTGTTAATGGTTTCAGGAATACTTGCTTCTGTGATCCAGTGTCAGACAGGCTTCTTAAACTGGATAAGGAATAAATAACTATAATACAGAAACATACAAAAATAAAGGCAGGTATATACTGAATGTAAGCAAAAGTTTTTTAAGATTTACCTGTTATGTCTTTACATATGTACTGTATATTGATTACCTTTTCCCAAGGATCTCATAACAATGCACAGGGAGGGGACAATGCACAAAACATTTTACTTTAAAAAATTATAAACTTTAGTAACCAAGTAAGTAAAATTGCTGACTGCTGCTTGCTGAAAAAAAAAAGAATGAGGTGTTTCGAAAGATAGAAGAAAATATATTTGCCTATGGGTCACTGACTCGTAATGTTTTTATGTTATGGCAAGAGCTTTTTGTTTATATTTATTTAAATGATTGGAAAATGTGTTTAACTCTTTGGGTGACCTTACCATAGTGGGGAAGAGCTCAGTGCCTTCTAGGCACTGAGTATACTAATATCCTCACATACAATAGGGCCCCCATATACAGCGGGTTAGGTTCCAGGCTACCTCTGTAAAGTGGAAATTGCCAAAAACAGAATGCCCTTTTTTTCCACTCATAAATACATATAAATTTATGCTACCATATATTAAATTAGCAATAGAACTAGGCATTAAAAAACAAAAATGTAAAATACATATATTACATATCTTAAAATATGTGTGGTCTTAATGTAGGGTGAGAGATGAGTAGTATTTATTGTAGGAAGTCAGGTGGTAGGTATGGTAGCTTGCCCGGCTACCACACCTACATGTAATGTGTGACATTTAAAGCACCCCAGAATGATAAATACACATACAATACACTCATTACTTACTTTAAAATTTGTGTAGCTTTAACGTAGGATAAGAGGTGAGTATTTATTGTAGAAAGTCAGATGTGGTAGCTAGGCAACCTACCATGCCTACATGAAATATAAGACTCAAATTTAAAGCACCCCAGGGCAATTATTGTTATTATTATTATTACCATCGACATACCTTGTTCACCGAGTTTAATCATTTCTAACAATTACCCTTAGATGCCATTGTAAACAAGAGAGAATGAGTAAATGAAAGAGAACGAGAGAGACACCAAGAATGTAAAATATAGATGAATGCGTATTAATACCTGTCTGATTATAGATCATTCATGTTCATTCCTGCATATGTTTGCGAAGAAGCTTTTACCACAGTACAAACACCTTACATTGTGTACAAGTTGTCTTCATGTTGGTGCAGTAGAATAAATAGCAGCAACACTCCTATTCTCATGCAACACTATTTTTTGAGAGAATGATGCTACGAGTGAAGGCATACGAAAGGAATAACTTTTTACAGTTACGCACAGTAATAGTATTGTGTACAACATTTTCGTCTGGTGTTTGGACTAGAGGAAAACATAATCTTGTCGGTCACTCATAGCAAGCTGCCCAGCTGCCACATCTCATATTTATGTCAATTTATTCTACTGTGGGTGTACGTATAATGTTTATTTTTATTTTTTATTTTTTTCAACAAGTCGGCCGTCTCCCACCGAGGCAGGGTGACCCAAAAAAAAAGAAAATCCCCCAAAAAGAAAATTACTTTCATGCATATTCAACACTTTCCACCACACTCACATTATCACTGTTTTTGCAGAGGTGCTCAGAATACAACAGTTTAGAAGCATACACATATAAAGATACACAACATATCCCTCCAAAGTGCCAATATCCCCCAACCCCTCCTTTAAAGAGCAGGCATTGTACTTTCCATTTGCCAGGACTCAAGTCCGCCATATTAAAATAACCGTTTCCCTGAATCCCTTCACTAAATATACCCTGCTCACACTCCAACAGATCGTCAGGTCCCAAGTACCATTCGAGCTCCATTCACTCCTATCTACACACGCTTGCTTGGAAGTCCAGCCCCTTGCCACAAAACCTCCTTTACATACCCCCCACTCTCCAACCCTACACACCCCATATAATGTGTTGGTACTACTATACTTTCATACATTCCCTTCTTTGCCTCCATAGATAAACGTTTTTTGACTCCAACATCTACCTCAACGCACCACTCACCTTTTTTTTTCCCTCATCAATTCTATGATTAACCTCATCCTTCATAAATCCATCCGCCAACAACGTCAACGTCTCAAGTATCTAAAACCTTCACTCATCCACACTCCTCCTCCGCCAATTAGATATCCAAGTTTTTTCTTTATCTAAATCATTTGAATACCCTCATCACCTTACTACTCTTTTCTATGTTCACTTTCAACTTTCTACCTTTAACACACATCCCAAACTCATCCACTACCATTGCAATTTTTCTTTAGAATCTCCCATTAAGCACAGTATCATCAGCAAAAAGTAACTGTTGTCAATTCCCATTTTGAATATTGATTCCCCAAAATTTAATCCCAAGCGCCTCTCCCGAACACCCCTAGCATTACTTTCCTTTACAATCCCCATCGATAAATATATTAACCAATACCATGGGACATTTACATATTTCCTGTCAAAGACCTACTTTTACCGGGAATTAGTCTCCCTCTCTCTACAACACACCTAACCTAGCCTCACTATTCCTCATAAAAACTCTTTACAGCATTAATAACTTACCACCTATTCCTATACTTGCAACATCTCCACATTTGCTCCTCTATCCACTCCTATCATATGCCTTTTCTAAATCCATAAATGCAATAAAAAACTTCCCTATCCTTTATCTAAATACTGTCACATATATGCTTCAATGTAAAACACTTGATCTACACATCCCCTACCCACTCTGAAACCTCCTTGCTCATCCACAATCCTACATTCTCACTTACCTTAATTCTTTTCAATTATAACCCTAACCGTAACACTTTCCTGGTATACTCAGTAAAACTTATTCCTCTATAATAATTTTTTACAATTTCCTTTTGTCCCCTTTCCCATTATATGAAGGGACTATACATGCACTCTGCCATCCCTAGTACCATTCCCCTCTTTCATACATTTATTAAAAAAGTATCAACCACTCCAACACTATATCCCCCCTGCTTTAAACATTTCTGTCATGATCCCATCAGTTTCCAGCTGCTTTACACCCTTACCAAACCTAACCCCCTTTCATTCTACGTAATGCCACACTTACCTCCCCCACATTTACATTCTGCTCTCTATCACTCCTAATGTTTATGTTATCAAAATGTTTCTATCATCATTTAGAAAAAAATACATATATGGATAGAGTGAAATATCTATATACGGGATATACAACATTTAAAGTGACCCTAACAATTATTTTATTTTATTTTTATATTTATCACACTGGCCGATTCCCACCAAGAGTCAGGGTGGCCGCAAAAAGAAAAACTTTCACAATCAATTCACTCCATCACTGTCTTGCCAGAAGGTGCTTTACACTACGGTTATTTAAACTGCAACATAACACCCCTCCCTTCAGAGTGCAGCCACTGTACATCCCATCTCCAGGACTCAAGTTCGGGCCTGCCGGTTTTTCCCTAACCCCTTCATAAATGTTTACTTTGGCTCACACTCCAACACACGTCCAAGTATTAAAACCATTGTCTCCATTCAACTCTTATTCAAACACGCTCACTGCATGCCCTGCTGGAAGACGAAGCCCCTCCGGACGACAAAAACCGTCCTTTAACCACCCCTCCCCTCCAACTTTCACTAGGCCCGACCGCCTACCAAACCCGCCTCCTTCCACTACAGACTAATACACTCTTGAAGTCCATTCTGTTTCGCTCCATACTCTCTACATGTCCGAACCACCCAACAACCCTTCCACCAGCACCTCTGGACACAGATTATGGTAATCCCCGCACCTCCTCCTAACTTCCAAACTACGTAATTCTCTGCATTATATTCAACACCACACATTCCCTCAGACATAGACATCTTCGCACTTGACCTCCAGCCTTCTCTCTCACTGCAACATTCATCACCCATGCTTCGACACCAATATAAGAGCGGTGGTAAACTAGTTACTCTCATACATTCCCCTCTTTTGCCCCCAAGGACAAAGTTCTTTGTCTCCACAACTCCTAAGTGCACCACACACCCTTTTTCCCCTCATCAATTCCTAGATGATTCACCCACATCTTTCATAGACCCACCGCTTACACGTCCATCTCCCTAATATCTGAATACATTCACCTCCTCCTTACTCCTCTTCCCTCCAATTTGAATATCCATTCTTTCATCACCTAATCGAGATTTTGTTTCCTCATAACTTACTCTTTCTTTCCTGTATTCACTCAATTTTCCTCTTTTGTACACCCTACCAAACAATTATTATTATTATTAATATGGCATCAAGGCTAGTGAGACACTCTTAGTAGATTTTAATATGTACCTGCATGCTAGCACAGTGTGTAAGTTTATTTAGGTACACATACACATAGGTATAATTATCAGAGTAGTATACATAAAATATGCAATAACTTTAAAACACTTGAAATTTTGGAAAATTTCCAGATATAACTGAGAGACGTGGAGCTCATGGAGAATGTAAACAAAGTGACACATGAAGACTGTATTAGCAAGTCAGGTAGGGTGGAGAGCCGTATAATGAGTTTTGGTCACAATTTGGAATGTCCACATTAGTGAAATGCCACAAAGCGAAACACTGTAAAGTGGGGCTTAACTGAACAATAACTGTAACACAGTAAATACAGTATGTATTACAGTACTAACCCCTTCACTGTTGGAAGCACAAAATTAAAAGTTCTGACAATGTCCAGAATTAAAAAAAAAAAGAAATTATTATTTCTTCTGAAACAGTACAATCTTTTTCTGAAAGTAATGACACTAAAAATACAAAATTTGATAGAAAACTTACAGAATTACACAGGCACAAAGTTAGTGGTCTAGATGCAATTTACTTCGGCAATTTTGCCCACTTTCAGTCTATTTTAAGCCAGTTACATTACTCATTTCAATCATGTTCTTAGCTATTTCACTGGTTTGCATTCTGTTCTATTGACTGGACACAAGAAACCAACCATTCAACTCTCAGAACTACTGTATGAGGTGCACAGAGATCAGTAACTTGGCAAATTTGATGCAAATTTAAAAAAATTCTAATTTAAAAACAGAGTCCAAAATAAACATTGTAGACATTCCAGCTACAAAAGCAACATTACCTCTGTTTATTATGTCCCCAGATGTCTCCTGTATTACACTTGACCTCCATTTTAAGTTCATCACACAAGAATTGAAGTTTTGCTCTATATCTCAAAGAATAAAACACCCAGGAATGATTGGCTGTGGTTGAGGAAGTCCCTATAACTGAAGTAGACCTAGTAAAAAACCTATAAAACAGAATGAGGGGTACAAGGCCTTACCTGTCCTCATGAAAATAGCAAAAAAATCAAATACTTTTGCTATTTTGAGCCCAATTTCAAACTACAGTGGAACCTCAGTATGTGACCTTAATTCAGTCCAGAAGGCTGTTCAAGTGCCACTCCATTTGATTATCGAACAAGTTCTTCCCAACCAATTTAGAGCAAAGCTCTGGCAGGTTGTATTTGTTTGGTTGAGTGCTGAGCTTTGTTCAAGTAGGGAGCTGGTCATATACCGAGGTTCCACTGTACTTCCATTTCTGAAACCAACCAAGATCATCTCTGTTTCAATAGTACGTCTTCTTTTCTATCAACTAATTCCAAGAAATAGTTAATCAAACCACAAATATCATCCTAGAAAAAAACCTCAGTCACAATTTTAAACTAAACACAAGGTTGGAGGACTTTTATATATTGCACACACTCACAGTAGAGACTCAGTAAAAGGGTTAACTGTGATACAATATTGCAGTATTAACTATAAAATGGTATTACAATATTAACTAATACACTACAGCCTCTCCTAACTTAACGACGGAGTTCTGTTCCTAGGACCACATCGGTAAACAAATTCGTCACTAAGTGAGGAGCATACTATAATGGTAGTGGGTTTGTGTCAACCATCTTTGGTATTGTTTTAGTGTCACCTTTGCACCATTTATAACATTTCTGGTATATTTTTAAATGTTTATACAGTAGTGTACAGTATATTGTAATAAACAGAATAGTATAGGGAATCGGCTCTAATATACATTATTTAGGTATGCATACTGGTCAGAGAGCCCATCATATTTCCGAGCCATTGGTAAACGAGTACATCGCTAAGTGAGGAGAGGCTGTATTACTGTAACACAGAATTATCTGCAATACAGTTTTCCAGTTAATGTACATAGGGGACATTTGTCTAGATTTTCCTGGGTGTACTTTTGGTGTGGGCATGTCATGATCACCACCATCACTGAACAAAAGCATCCAATCCCTCATTGAACACACACTCACATCAATGCTTTCACTATTTTCATTGTCTGATGGCCAGCCTTATGTAATCAAGTGATCTGTGAAATTTTTTCGTGTTACTGACTTATTCCTGCCCATACTAATTTGTCTATAGACAAAAATGTCCAATTAACTCGACATTCAAGATCCTGTGGTGCATGGAAACCACAAATATTCGTCCATCACATGAGCCTAAAAGGCACTGCTGACAGGCCATGGCCAATAGCCTTAAGGAATTTCATGTCCTGCTATGAGTTGCCAAGCTGCCAATGGTTTTGTTGCATCAAAACACCTAACAGGGTTGGACACTTTTTTGACATTAAAATAGGCTGGGCACCTCCACCCAGCATACTTTGATGACAAGCATGGTAAATATAGGAAGAAAACTTATTCTCTTAAGTGAGAAAGCACACTAAAAATTTAATTTGAGCTTATAGTAAAAATACTACTGTGCACAGATATCTGAGAATGTATACGTTATATATTGTATTATATAAGAGTAATTTATTGAATTTCTTATGAATGAATGGCTCTGCACAGTACCTATAGCCTCTGTTGTAAGTCCATGATAAGACGAGGGTCGTGATGGCTTACGCTCCTCAGTGTTTGCCATATAGAAGGCAGAATTGCCAACAATGGTAGATCCAGACGTACTGGAAAACTTTTTGCTCCGCACAGCCCAGCCTCTTGAACGTACTGGAATCTGAGAGCCAAGAACTGTATAAATAATTGTTAGAGTATTTACACATGATTTTCTAAGTAATGACTGACTGATATGCTCAGTGCCGATAATTTCTATTGAATAAAATCTTCAAGAATAATATTACATTCTTCCTCATGTACTTATCTTTATCTATCTCAAAATTAAATTTATAAGTTATAACCACCTCAGGTTTCTATCAACAAGTGCATGCCATCTGGCACACTACTATTTATTTACTTATTTAATTTATTAATTTGAACATGATACAGTGAAGTACAAAAAAATACAGTGGTTAAGTGTAACATGCCAAAGCCCCTTGTATGCAGAGCATTATGGGCATGCTTAAGATTAACTAATCAATGATATATTCAGAGGTAAACATTACTGTAAACAGATAACAATTAAGCACAAATGAGTATTTCAAAGACAGGTCATATGGTCATTTACTGTGCTGCTGTGCATTCAGTAGAATGGAGTATTCTGTTAGGTAATGTAATTAAAAATAACAAAGTTTGATTGGGTTACAGGTTAAACATTTATGAGATACAATTATTCAGCATTTATTTAGTTGTGGGTGAGTAAGTGATTTTTAAGTAGAGACTTGAATTTATAAACCGACAGTGTTTCTTTTATATTCACAGGTAATGAATTCCGATTTTTGGGCCTTTTATGTGCACCGAGTTTTTGCATAGTGTGAGATGGACACAAGGAACATCAAAGAATGATCTGTGCCTTGTGTTATGGTCATGTGCTCTGTTGAGGTTGGTAAGGAGACGTCCAAGTTAAGTGTTCTATGTATGTAGTAGGTACAATAATAAGTATGGATGTTTTGTATGGTGAGTAGGTTTAGAGTTCTGAATATTGGTGGAGTGTGCTGCCTGTAGTGGGAATTTGTTATCATTCTGACTGCAGCCTTTTGTTGGGTAATTAATGGTCTGAGATGGTTTATTGTTGTTGAGTCCCATGCACAAATTCCATAGGTGAGATAGGGGTAAATACGTGAGTGATATAGGGCCAGGAGGGCTGACTGTGGAACATAGCACTGTATCTTCAATAGTATGCCTACGGTCTTGGAAATTTTCTTGGAAATTTGTTGTGTGTGTGTTTGAAATTTGAGTCTATTATCAAGGTGGATTCCTAAGAATTTTCCCTCTGTGAGCTTTGTGATAGGTGATCCATTTATCATTATGTTAAGAGGGACATCTGTAGCTCTGTTACCAAACTGAATGAAGTAAACTTTGTCAATGCTGAGAGGAAGTTTGTTAGTCCTCATCCAGGTAGATATTTTCTGTAATTCAGTATTCACAGTACACTGTATTGGCTAACATGACTGGGCTCGGGTGAGAGAAGACTTATGTAGTGTCATCTGCAAATAGTGTGGGTTTGAGTAGTTGCGATGCATTTGGTAGGTCATTTATGTAAACGAGAAAGAGAAGAGGGCCAAGGAGACTTCCCTGTGGGACACGAACTGTAATTAGCTGTGCGGAAGAGTTTGCTCCATTTGTGTACACATATTGGCTTCTGTTGCTGAGGTATGACTTTAGGTAGTTGAGGGAGTGCCCTCTTATACCATAGTGCGACAATTTTATGTGGAGCAAGTCATGGTCAACTGTATCAAAAGCTTTACGTAAATTAATGAAGATCCCCAGTGGGACTTCTTTTTTCTCTAGTGCAGTGTATATTTGTTCTAGCATGTGTATAATAGCATCATTCACATTTTTATTAGGCCTGAACCCAAACTGACAGGGGTTGAGTATGTTGTGGGAGATGAGGTAGGAATAGATTCGCTTATGAATTAATTTTTCGAAGATTTTAGAGAGAGGGTGTAAGTTGGATATTGGCCTATAGTTATTCAAGAAGTCTGTTTTGTCTCCTCCTTTATGGATCGGGGTAACCCTCGCTATTTTGAAAACTGTAAGGAAGGTAGAGGATTCGAAGGATTTGTTGAAGAGTGTTGCAATGATTGGTGACAGCACTTGCAACGCTTTTTTGTATATAAAGGGTGGTAAGGTATTTAAATCTCCTGTCTTGTTTTTTAGCGTGTTGATAATAAGGGAGACTTCTGTTGGGTTAGTCGGAGCTAGGAACAGTGTGTTTGGGTAGTTGCCAGTGAGGTAGTCATTGGGTAGGGTATTTGAGCTTGGGATTTTATTGGCAAGGTTTTTTCATATGGTGGAGAATTCATTGAGTCTGTTTGCTGTTTCAGTTGGTGGGAGTTGGGGTTCATCTGGTTTTGTTAGTTCAGTTGCACTATTTCATGATATCTTTTTTGTTCCTAGAATTTCTGATAGGGTTTTCCAGGTCTATTTTATATCACCTTTTAAGCTGGGTAATCTGTTCTCATAATACAATTTTTTAGCCCTTCTTATCAGGCTGGTTACGATTGACGAGTAACGTTTTGTTAGGTCTCTGGTTATGCGACCCATTCTGTACTGTTTTTCATATTGGTGCTTTGTATTTATGGATTTGAGGATGCTGGGTGTTAGCCGGGGACTGTTCAGTCTCTTAGCTGTCATCTGTTTAGTTTTTTAGGGCAGTGCTTGTTATAGAGGTATTGGGTCTTTTTTAGAAAATTATTAATACATTCGTCAATACCTGTATAGATTTCTAGCTCAGTGTGCCAGTCAATGTTTGTCACTGCTGTTGTGAAGTTATTAATGGCTGCCTCATTGTGAAGTCTGAAAGTGACTTTAGTAGTGTCTTGGGGTAATTTGCCTAGATTAGTTATGAGGAAGGTAGAGTAGTGGTCTGTGGTATTATCTGTGATTATGCCTGATTTTAAAGGGGATATGGCACTGGCCCAGATGTGGTCTAGTAGTACTATTGAGAAACTCTCTGCATACATTTTTTCTATTTTCTTCTTTCAACAAACCGACCATATCCCACTGAGGCAGGGTGGCCCAAAAGGAAAAACGAAAGTTGACCCTTTTAAATTTAGTAATATATACAGGAGAAGGGGTTATTAGCCCCTTGCTCCCGGCATTTTAGTCGCCTCTTATGACACGCATGGCTTACGGAGGAAGACTTCTGTTCCACTTCCTCATGGAGACAGTTTTTCATATGATTATTTATTTTACGTAATTATAAAATATTCTAATTTGTTATAGTTGTCTATATAGTGCTATTATAATATAATAACTATAATATTACATGCTATTCTGTACTGTTATTATAAGAAGAAAAACTCTAGCAGTTTTCCTTTTGTCACACAAGCTATAAAAAATTAAGCAACCAGAGTTAATTGCACATTTGTTAAAAATTTACAGTTCTTTCTGGCTTTGCTAACAACATGCTACATTGTCTTCCTTTTCCCACATTCTAAGCTGACTGGCATTATTATTTTCAGCTAACACAATCATACAGCATTAGAAAGGCCAAATATCTACCCTCTCATGAAGTTGAATGTGCAACCTACCCTACAATCACGTGAATACATTATATATACACACATAAACAAATCCAGGGGAAATCCATAAAACCGTCAAATAACCAAACGGAAAACAGAATAAAACTGTATTAAAAAGATAATCAAAATGTGCAGTAATATTAAAGAAGAGATTTGATCTGACATACAGATTAAATCTATGACTATATAGTGTAGAGATTTTTGATGGGATAAAAAATACTGTTTCAAGAAGACTCGTATTATATTGTTGCTGGAGAAGCAGATGGAGAAAGTATGAATGTATGACAAAAGGCTAAATGCTGATAGGTAAAAAGAAGTTGGAATTCTGATAGATAGACACAGACAGATTAAGACAAAGAAATAGAAACACAGACAAAGGAAAGCGAGATGCTTATAGACAGAGACAAAAGCATCCAGAAAAACACACAAACAGAAACAGACAATGACAATGAGATAGAGACAGACAGCCAGACAGATAGGCAAATAAAATCTATTAAGCTACCCTGACATTCAAAACTTATTAAAGATAAGTGGGCAAATTGCTATTAATTAGATTTTAAAAAAAGCATTGGACAGACTTCCTGATGGAAGGCTAAATGGGAACTACAAAGCAGAGGATAAGAGATCCATTGTGTGAAAGAAAAATGCAAACAGCACTGGGTATTAAGAGAATTTCAAACACTGATATGGCTCTAAAGGATTCTGTATTACTGTAAGTGGAAATGAAAGGTAAAAAAAAAAAAATTGGTGAAGAAAACTTTTTCACAAATTCTACACAGCATGCATCAATAAAAAAGTTAGTCTATGGCATTATTGTTAAAAATTACACCACAATACTGACAAAGATATAATACAAAATTAGCACTACCAAACACTTTTGTACTGCAAAACAAAAGCACATCAGTAAGAAAACCACCAATAATTCCAAATCCATAAAACTGTGTTATTAGTTAATCTTTCTATCTGGCAGTATCCTAACAAGAAATTAAGCCATACAAGAAGCAACAGCTAGAACAACAATACCAAAGAAAAGAAAAACTGGACGTTTCCCCTGGAAGAATGAGCACCTTTACCCTAACATCCATGCCAAGTAGTCCACTCCGCAGCTGTTCCTCCGAGGGCAGCAGAGAAGGAATGAGAAGGGTTCTATTGTCCCATGTGAGAGCCACCTCAAATTTGTTGAGTAAATTCACTATGTATGACTTGGCATCCACAGGGGCACATGTTGATGACTTGAACACGTGTTTCAGATCATCAAGTTTCATGATGCCTGAAAGAAAAATATCAGTATGCAATAAATATAAAATTGTATAGAGTGTGAGCAGGTTAACATTTCTGAAGGGATTCAGGGAAACTGGTTAACAGGACTTGAGTCCTGAAGATGGAATGTACAGTAACTGTACTCTAAAGGAATCTATATTTATGTATTTTTTATTTTTTCAACAAGTCAGCCGTCTCCCACCGAGGCAGGATGACCCAAAAAGAAAGAAAATCCCCAAAAAGAAAATACTTTCATCATCATTCAACACATTCACCTCACTCACACACATTCACTGTCTTTGCAGAGGTGTCCAGATACAACAGTTTAGAAGCATATATAACATACCCCTCCAAACTGCCAATATCCCAAACCCCTCCTTTAAAGTGCAGGCATTGTACTTCTCATTTCCAGTACAGGTCCTCCATCACAAATCCGGCATCATTGGGACCTGTGGTGTGCCGGATTACTGAGTTTGCCAAACTACTGAGTGGTTATGTTAGAATACACTTAATAAAATAAACCAACTTGACTTACACAGTTCATTGAACATTGGCAAAAATCGAACATTTCTGCTACTTTGAGCTCAATTTCAAGGTACTTTTCGTCATGAAAGCAATCAAAATCATGTCTATTTCTGTAATATATTTTCCATTCTATCAAATGAGTCCCAAAAAATGAGAATACAACCATAAAAACCATACAAAAATATACTGCAAAGAGGCGGCTAATGGCTGAGAAGTGAAATCCCTTATTTATCGTCCGTCTTTTTCATTTTTGTTGTACGTTAAGAAGCATCTTTCCATCATACGTTGCCCAAGTTTCAATGAGATAGCCCAACAAACAACCGAGAAAAAAAAATATTTACCAAAAATCATATATGGCAAGCCCAAGCCAGGTACTGGAAATAAGTCACTTTGTCTGACTTTTCTGGGTTATCCTAGGTTCTCTATACATACGATGCTATGTATGATAATCTATGTAACTGTATTTGTGTATACCTGAATAAACTTATTTACTTCTAGTCTGTCAACTGAGTACAAGAAACAGCCCATTCACGTACTTCAACTACCCAATAAAGTGGTCAGAAAATGGCAATTTGGCCGATTTCACACAAATTTCAACAGATGCCAATTTCAAAATAGGGTCCAGAATAAACAATGCAGACATTCCTGGCACTAAAATAACATTTTCTCTGTTCATTAGTCACGGCTACAGGCCCCTCTTATATTACTCTTGCTTACCATTTGGAATTTTTATTCACAAAAAAAAAAAAAATAGAATATTTACTGTTATGCAGACTACTGCATTATTGTAATAATTGTATAAATAATGTCAATCCATTCTTGACTCCGTACTGGAATTTAGACTGGCAGGTGGACAGGTATTGGACGGTGACGTCATTTGTTTACTCTTGAGCTTCGCTAAATAGAAAATTTTTGCTACTGTGAGCGCAATTTCAAGGTACTTTTGATCATGAAAGCAATCAAAATCCTATCTATTTCTGTATTATATCTTTCATTCTATCAAATAAGACCGAAAAAATGAGAATATAACCATAACAACCACACAAAAATATACCGCTAAGCGGCCGCTAATGGCTGAGAAGTGAACTCCGCTATTTATGGTCTGATTTCTTTCATTTTTGGTGTACGTGAAGAAGTATCTTTCCATCATACATTGCCCAAGTTTGAATAAGATAACCCAACAAACAACTGAGAAAATAATATAATAATAATAATAATAATAATAATATCTTTATTTACTTCCCATACATGTACAAGGTATACAGGCCTAGATAACATAAGTGACATACTACTGTATAGGAAGGAACTTGTTATGCTGAGTATTTCAAGAAAATTAGGTCAGTGTCCCAGGATAACACCCACACTAGTCGACTAACACCCAGGTACCCATTTACTGATGGGTAACATAGACAACAGGTGTAAAGAAACATGCCTAATGTTTCTACCCTGGCTGGGAATCGAATATTTACCAAAAATCATATATGGCTAACCCAAGCCAGGTACTAAAAATAAGCCACGTTGACTTTTTTGGGGTTATCCTAGGTTCTCTACACACATGCTGCTATGTGTGATAATCTATAGAGAGAAAATAACTTTTTTGTTTCATGTTTATGGTGGAGTACGAGTGTATGTCAGTGTCCCAGGATAACACCCACACTAGTCGACTAACACCCAGGTATCCATTTACTGATGGGTAACATAGACAACAGGTGTAAAGAAACATGCCTAATGTTTCTACCCTGGCTGGGAATCGAATATTTACCAAAAATCATATATGGCTAACCCAAGCCAGGTACTAAAAATAAGCCACGTTGACTTTTTTGGGGTTATCCTAGGTTCTCTACACACATGCTGCTATGTGTGATAATCTATAGAGAGAAAATAACTTTTTTGTTTCATGTTTATGGTGGAGTACGAGTGTATATCATAGTTAGCCCTGTGCTATACTCCGTTTTCTCTAATATAAGCCCCCAAGACAAGGATAGGAGAATGGTATTTGTTTACCAAATCCTCTTCATAACTTTGTCGAACTGCTCGGTGTTATGCAAAATATTAATTCTGGAATATTTAACATGTTTTATGTTATTTATATTGTTTCTTATGTCATATTATATCAATTGTGATAGGCAAATAAGCTGTAGTGTTGATATTAGCGTAATAATAAAGCATATTCTCCTGCATCATGAGACTGAGTTCATGACAACCGACAGTGGCTTCAAAGCCACCTTATCTTTAATGGATAATGTACTGTGTAGGTGCTTTACATAATGAGAAGCATTTCTTTTATTCATTGGAACCATGGCTAGGGCTAAAAGTAAGCAGGTTAAAACAATAAATGGAGAAAAAGAAATTGGAATGACTTATGCAGCAAGTAGCACCACCAAACAGTACCAGCAGGTTGGTGTGGCGACCCTGGAAATTTGAAATTATGCTAGCCAAAATTAGTGCCGAATAACTGAAGGAACCGAATAACTGATTGCCGGATTTGTGATGGTGGACCTGTACTCAAGTCCAGCTATATAAAAATAACCAGTTTCCTTGAATCCCTTCACTAAATATTACCCTGCTCACACTCCAACAGCTCGTCAGGTCCCAAAAACCATTCATCTCCATTCACTCCTATCTAACATGCTCACAAATGCTTGCTGGAAGTATATTATGTATATTAGAATTATAAATAAATAAGATAATCAGCAGAAGTAATGCTCACAAAGAAGTCACCCTGCCTCGGTGGGAGATGACCAACTTGTTGAAAAAAAAAAAAAAAAATGAACAAACTACAAAGGATATGATAGTTTAAATAATAATAAAGCAAAATGCAAAGTTATATATAATAATAACATGTACAAGACATACAGGCCTATCTGACATCAATGACATACTACTATATATAAAGCCACTTGTTATGCAAAGCATTTCGGGCAAATTAGGTAAATTTTGTCACAGGATGCGACCCACGCCAATCGACTAACACCCAGGTACCCATTTTATACTGTATTAATGTTAGTAGAATTACTGACAATTTTTTTTTTTTTTTTTTTTGGAACAAGTCGGCCGTCTCCCACCGAGGCGGGGTGACCCAAAAAAGAAAGAAAATCCCCAAAAAGAAAATACTTTCATCATCATTCAACACTTTCACCACACTCACACATTATCACTGCTTTTGCAGAGGTGCTCAGAATACAACAGTTTAGAAGCATATACGTATAAAGATACACAACATATCCCTCCAAACTGCCAATGTCCCAAACCCCTCCTTTAAAGTGCAGGCATTGTACTTCCCATTTCCAGGACTCAAGTCCGACTATATGAAAATAACCGGTTTCCCTGAATCCCTTCACTAAATATGACAATATGTTAGGTAAAAGGACACAAGTGCAACTAATGTGACATTTTATTGTGGCAACATTTTGCCCTCCAGGAGCTTTACCAGGCTTGATAAAGCTTCTGAAGAGTGAAACATTGCCACAATAAAATGTCACATTAGTTGCGCTTGTGTCCTTTTACCTAACCATTTTATACTGATGGGTCAACATGGATAACAGGTGTCTTAAGGAAACATGTCATAATGTTTTCCAGCCGTACCGCGGATTCGATCTCCAGACCTCAGTGTGTTGCACACGTGCAACAGCTTGGTATCTGTAGTGATGTGACATTTCACTTGCTCAGCAGGCTTTTTCGATCAAAATACAGACAAGATAATGGAAGCAGTGGAGATGTAGATATGAGTGATCAGTCTCTCAGTACTGAAGATGAAGAAAGTCTGAGATGGTCAGCCCCTCAGGCTCAAACTTACCTCTTCTTCAAGACTGAAGGACTGATCACCTTACATCTACATCTCCACTATTTCTGTTGTCTATGCTGTACTTCGACTGAAGAAGTGTGCTGAGCAGGCAAAAATGTCTTCTTAATAAAGAAGCAAAATTTGTACATGTCTCTTACTCATCTACTTGATGTGATGATTTTGTATAGCATTAACAGGGCCTATGAGAAGGGAGGTTCAGCTGATACATTACTCCAGTGCCTGGACTTTAAAGATGAAGATTTTACAGCAGAAATGCAACATTTACCTTTAGTACTAAAGCAAATTTTGGGAAACTAGAACTGAATCCTTTATTATTGCTAAATTCATTAACAGACTACAAACTCTTGAGATATTTCCAAATGTTTGTGTTAGCTTAAGAATAGTGTTGACAATTCCAGCAACAGTAGCATCAGCAGAGATATTTTAGCAAACTCAAACATATCAAAAATATTTTTAAAGTCTACTACTCAAACATATAAAAAACATTTTTAAAGTCTACTATGTGTCAAACCTGACTTGCTGATTTAGCAAAACTTAATACCGAATCAAGCATTGCCAGAGAAATTTATTTTGATAGCGTTATTAGAAATTTTACAGACAAAAAAATGCCAGAAAAGCTCATTTCACTAAGTAGTCTAAGTAAATATTAAACTTTTAAGAATTTATTTTATTTGAAAGAACTTTTGATTAAAAATTTAGGCACTTGTATAGTTACAGGTAAACAAAATTTTCAAAATCTAAAAAGTATATGTTATCTGGTCATTCTGCTGCACAGGATATAAAATATTTATGAAAGTTTACCAATGGTTTTACTGGACTCTAAATTCTCATTTTGAGAGAAGCCTCAGCCTGCCCCCAGGGGCCCCAAAGCAGTTTTGCTCCACCTTGCAAAATTTCTCTTGGAGGCCCTGTCCATTAATATAATGATTCTGTATAATTTCATATTCATTTCAGTGAAGACATCGTTGAACAGTATGATACTTTCATATGGGTTTTCTTGAGTATGAACGTTCCTATTTTACTTACCATTTCGAGCAAATGGGTTGATTTCTCTTATGGTGACCACATGAGCCAACATATCACACAGCCATTGAGGGTCAAGGAAGTATAAGTCCTTCAAGGTTGCATCTTCATAATGAAGCATAACACCTGTTGGAATATGACCTTACAATCCAAAATTCACATACTGTACATGGAAAGGTGCTCTGAAAATATGTAAACTGATATTATTCTCACCATAAATCAATATATAATCAGTTTGAAAGGTTGCAGAATCATTCTATCCTTTAATTATTTCAATGAATATAATGTAAACCCACCATTCTCATGGAGAAAAGTTGTGCCTTGATTGAGCTCGGCTACATCTCTGAATGGACGGTGACCTCTACTAGACATCTCCTGGGTAACAAGAGCCTGATATTTGTCTGCAGGCAACACTGGGTCACGGCCCTGAACACGTCGTTCCAGAGCCAGAACACCAACAACATCCTCTAAAGCAAGGTAAGAGGCAGGGATGCGTTGCTCAAGCAACCGTTCTTTGCTCCCTGTTGATACATGAAACAACATTTGTTAGTTTTTTAGTACTTTTGTAGATAGGTGGAACTGACCTGGATATCAACTGCAATGTACCACAGTGAAGACTTTTTAAAAAATTATTATTTGTTGAAAAGTATTCTAAAAACATTATGACTAAAAATTATACATTCTTGATCAAATTAATACATCTGAATATTTTATAGAAACTTTTTCTTTCTTTCAACACACCGGCCGTATCCCACTGAGGCGGGGTGGCCCAAAAGGAAAAACAAAAGTTTCTCCTTTCACATTTAGTAATATATATAGGAGAAGGGGTTTTTATAGAGACAATATATATAAAAAATACACTAAATGCTACATACAGAACAACCTGCTTTCATAAATACCAGGCGTTTTGAGACTGAAGACGGTGTCATATATCAAGTTGCAAAGAAGCTTAATGTTGTGTCTTGTCTTGCAGCTCACCTGTAAGAGAGTGCACATATGTGATGCTAAAAAAAATATTCAAGGTACCATCCAATTTGTTAACACTGGTACAAGCAAATTATTTCTTAAAAATGTTGTATCTCTCATAATAGTTTAAAAATATCATAAGGTACAATGTCTTTTTCTTGTTGATCACTAATGAAGTCATGGCTGTAAATATTAGAAGTCAGTGTATATTTTATCAGCATTCTCTTCTATCAAAAAAAGTCTTCCGAGCACATACTTCTCTTTGTTGAGTTACCACACAATAGTCACTGTACAATGTATCTCAATCACCATCTTAGTAATACAGTGGACCCTCGAGTTTCGTAAGCCTCGCGCTTCGTAAATTTCGCCTTTCGACAACTTTTTTCGTCAAAACATAGCCTCGCGGTTTGTAATTTGCCTCGCCATTTGTCGGTCATCCGGAACATGTACAAGCAACCTCCCAGTGTCCACACCACACAAAGGTGCCCCACACACCATTCCCAGTCAGTGTGGCATTGTTTATTGGCGAGTGACCATCACCCCACACATTCATGTGATACATTTCATAATATTCCATTATTTTTTGTGCTTGAAACTGCTAAATAAGCCACCGTGGGCCCAAAGAAAGCTTCTAGTGCTGGCCCTTTGGTAAAGAATGTGAGAAACATGATAGAATTCAAGAAAGAACACACCAGCCAGGGTACTTCCCCACACACAATTTGATTTGAATGGAACTTGCACATGAGTGAATAGAATTATCAAAGCTTATTGCTTGGGGAGCATTGAAAATAGGGTTGTGCAAATATTCTGTTAGTGGGATGGTTTGTGAAGGACCTGCCACTAGGACAGCCAAGCTGGTCCTAGTGGCATTAAAAAACAAAGAAGGGAAGTAACCCCGGATAAGGACTTGGTACCTAAAGTCTATGGAAGGAGATTCCCCTTCCAAACAATAGTGTAACTTCTCCATCCTTTCCCCTCCTCCTGTCTTCCATAAAGGTAAGTGTGATGTTATTATTGTTTTATACGTGATGTCTCATTGTTTTCTGTATGTAAATCTATATTTAATGAAAAAAGAAAATTTTTTTTGTTGATACTTTTGGATGTTTGGAATGGATTACAGTGGACCCCTGACTTGCAATATTAATCCATTCCTGAGAGCACATCGTAAGATGAAATTATCGTAAGTTGAATTAATTTTCCCCATGAGAAATAATGGAAATCAAATTAATCTGTGCAAGACACCCAAAAGTATTTAAAAAAAAAAAAATTTACCACATGAAATATACATTTTCCTACGTGCTGTTGGAGTGTGAGCAAAGTAACATTTATGAAGGGGTTCAGGGAAACCGGCAGGCCGGACTTGAGTCCTGGAGATGGGAAGTACAGTGCCTGCACTCTGAAGGAGGGGTGTTAATGTTGCAGTTTAAAAACTGTAGTGTAAAGCACCCTTCTGGCAAGACAGTGATGGAGTGAATGATGGTGGAAGTTTCTCTTTTTTGGGCCACCCTGCCTTGGTGGGAGTCGGCCAGTGTGATAATAAAATAAAATAAAAAAAGAAGGATACATGCACAATATATATTGTGCATGTACTACTCTACTAAATGAGAATAAATGACATTTATCTTTATTGAAGATGCATCAATGACTGATGAGACACTGTGTCCTCGGAGTGCCTTTTCCTCCTGAGTAATGTAGGTCCTGTTTGGCATTTTCTTCCAGAACAGGCCTTATCACACTGTGTATGCCACTACGATTCTTAAATCTCTCAAGCCAATCTTTGCTGACCTTAAATTCACCAATATGAGCACTAGTTCCAGGCATTTTTTCCTGTTCACCTGGGTGTTAGTCAACTGTTCTGGGTTGCATCCTGGGAGACAAGATTAAGGACCCCAATGGAAATAAGTTAGACAGTCCTCGATGACACACTGACTTTTTTGGGTTATCCTAGGTGGCTAATCCTCTGGAGTTAATTGTTTCTCGGTATTCTCGATAAGCCACACCAACAACAGTGCTACAGCAGCAGCAGCTGTTAGTGCTATGGCAGCAGCAGCTGTTAATGCTACAGCAGCAGCAGCTGTTAGTGCTACAGCAGCAGCTGATGGTGCTACAGCAGCAGCTGATGGTGCTACAGCAGCAGCTGATGGTGCTACAGCAGCAGCAGCTGATGGTGCTACAGCAGCAGCAGCTGGCAGTGCTACAGCAGCAGGTGGTGCTACAGCAGCAGCAGCAGCAGCTGACAGTGCTACAGCAGCAGCAGCATCTGATGGTGCTACAGCAGCAGCAGCAGCGGATGGTGCTACAGCAGCAGCAGCAGCGGATGGTGCTACAGCAGCAGCAGCAGCGGATGGTGCTACAGCAGCAGCAGCAGCGGATGGTGCTACAGCAGCAGCAGCAGCGGATGGTGCTACAGCAGCAGCAGCAGCGGATGGTGCTACAGCAGCAGCAGCAGCGGATGGTGCTACAGCAGCAGCAGCAGCGGATGGTGCTACAGCAGCAGTTGACGGTGCTACAGCAGCAGATGACAGTGCTACAGCAGCAGCAGCTGATGGTGCTACAGCAGCAGCAGTAGCTGACGGTGCTACAGCAGCAGCTGATGGTGCTACAGCAGCAGCTGATGGTGCTACAGCAGCAGCTGATGGTGCTACAGCAGCAGCTGATGGTGCTACAGCAGCAGCTGATGGTGCTACAGCAGCAGCTGATGGTGCTACAGCAGCAGCTGATGGTGCTACAGCAGCAGCTGATGGTGCTACAGCAGCAGCTGATGGTGCTACAGCAGCAGCAGCAGCTGACGGTGCTACAGCAGCAGCATCTGATGGTGCTACAGCAGCAGCAGCATCTGATGGTGCTACAGCAGCAGCAGCAGCGGATGGTGCTACAGCAGCAGCAGCAAGCAGCGGATGGTGCTACAGCAGCAGCAGCAGCAGCGGATGGTGCTACAGCAGCAGTTGACGGTGCTACAGCAGCAGATGACAGTGCTACAGCAGCAGCAGCTGACGGTGCTACAGCAGCAGCAGTAGCAGCTGACGGTGCTACAGCAGCAGCAGTAGCTGACGGTGCTACAGCAGCAGCAGTAGCTGATGGTGCTACAGCAGCAGCAGTAGCTGATGGTGCTACAGCAGCAGCAGCAGCTGACGGTGCTACAGTAGCAGCAGCAGCTGACCGTGGTACGATAGTATTTCGATAATATTTCTCACCCTTTTTACCACAGGGTTGGCACTAGAAAATTTCTTTGGGCTCATGGTTGCTTATTTAGCAGTTAGAAGCACTGAAAACACTCGAATAATACAAAAAATTCCAAATGTATGTGTGGGAGCGACCACTCTGGCTTGTAAACATTGGCACACTAACTGAAGGCAGGCCAGCTGAGGCGCGCTCAGGCTGACAGACACGCGGACGCGGTACTGGACGAATGCTGTGGGTCAAGTTTTTCAACGTACGTTGGGGTCAAATTTTCACACTGAAAAGCATCGTAGGTCAGTTTTAATGTAGGTTGGGAACATCGTACGTCGGGGGTCCACTGTAATTGGATTTACATTATTTCTTATGGGGAAAATGGTTTCACCATACGTAAATTTCGCCTTCCTTCAGACTCTCTGGAATGGATTAATTACGAAATTCGAGGGTCCACTGTACAGTGGACCCCCGCATACCGCACGCATCGCATACCATACAATCCGCATACCGCTCGCTTTTTTCGCAAAAATTTTGCCTCGCATACCGCCCAAAAACCCGCTCACCGCTCTTCGTCCGAGACACATCCAATGTGCGGCCTGAGCCACGCTCACATGTTCCGCCGGTGGCATTGTTTACCAGCCAGCCTCCGCGGTAACATCCAAGCATACAATCGGAACATTTCGTATTATTACAGTGTTTTTGGTGATTTTTTCTGGAAAATAAGTGACCATGGGCCCCAAGAAAGCTTCTAGTGCCAACCCTACAGCAATAAGGGTGAGAATTACTATAGAGATGAAGAAAAAGATCATTGATAAGTATGAAAGTGGAGTGCGTGTCTCCGAGCTGGCCAGGTTGTATAATAAACCCCAATCAACCATCGCTACTATTGGTGGTACAGCTGCTGCTGCTGCTGTACCACCGTCAGCTGCTGCTGCACTGTCAGCTGCTGCTGCTGTTGTACCACCGTCAGCTGCTGCTGCTGTTGTACCACCGTCAGCTGCTGCTGCTGCTGTAGCATCGTCTGCTGCTGCTGTAGCATCGTCTGCTGCTGCTGTAGCATCGTCTGCTGCTGCTGTAGCATCGTCTGCTGCTGCTGTAGCATCGTCTGCTGCTGCTGTAGCATCGTCTGTTGCTGCTGTAGCATCGTCTGCTGCTGCTGTAGCATCGTCTGTTGCTGCTGTAACATCGTCTGCTGCTGCTGTACCAAAGTCAGCTGCTGCTGCTGCTGCTGTAGCACCGTTGTTGGTGTGGCTTATTGAGAATACCAAGAAACAATTAACCCCAGAGGATTTGCCACCCAGGATAACCCAAAAATGTCAGTGTCATCGAAGACTGTCTAACTTATTTCCATTGGGGTCCTTAATCTTGTCTCCCAGGATGCAACCCACACCACTCGACTAACACCCAGGTGAACAGGGACAAATGCCTGGAACTAGTGCTCATATTGGTGAATTTAAAGCCAGCAAAGGTTGGTTTGAGAGATTTAAGAATCGTAGTGGCATACACAGTGTGATAAGGCCTGTTCTGGAAGAAAATGCCAAACAGGACCTACAGTACTCAGGAGGAAAAGGCACTCCCAGGACACAGTGTCTCATCAGTCATTGCTGCATCTTCAATAAAGGTGTCATTTATTCTTCATTTAGTAGAGTAGTACATGCACAATATATATTGTGCATGTACTACTCTACTATTGTGCATGTACTACTCTACTATTGTGCATGTATCCTTCTCTTTGTGTGTAGGAAAACGTATATTTCATGTGGTAAAATTTTTTTTTTCATACTTTTGGGTGTCTTGCACGGATTAATTTGATTTCCATTATTTCTTATGGGGAAAAT